CCTTCTGTGTACTCTTCAGAACGTTTTCAAATCACTCATCTCACCAGTAAGACTGTAGGTATGACTTTGCTTTGTCCAGTTGTTCCGTTGCTCCAGATATATCAAGGTCAACACCTTGGAGTCTCTTGCTTACAACATTTATTTCAAACAGTATGTCATGCCACAACACTAAGCCACGCAGAAATGTGAAGTTATGTATGTTTCTGGTGATTCCATTTCCTTCTGCCACTGTTCTCCCATGAACAGTTCCTGTCATAGCATTATCCTCCATAATGGCAACTATGGCATCATCTGTCTTCCCAATTTGGTGTTTGATAGGCTTTATCGCCTTCACTCGACTTTCCCATCGTGTGGCACTCAGTGGTTTCAGTGTCAGAGAGGATGTTCCCAGATGTTGCTTCAAAATTTGCCGTCGATGAGTTGAGGCAGAGAAAACTATATAGCTGCTTTGAATTATATTAAAAAATTCAGCAGCCTCACTAGAAGCTGATGCTGCATCACTGACCACCAAGTTCAATGAATGAGAACTGCATGGGATAAAAAAAGCTCGAGGGTTTAACTCTTGTATCCAGGTCTGCACTCCTCTGTTCTTTCCTCTCATGTTGGCACCATTATCGTAGCCCTGACGTCTCATGTGAGCTATCGCAATTCCCGTATCTTCCAGCTTTTTAAGAAGCACATTTGTCATACCAGCTCCTGTAGTATCATGAATGTCAATAAATTCTAGAAAATGCTCTCTGACAGTCAGCATTGCAGGGACATTTTCACTAGGTTCTGTTGTTACAAAACACACCATTAAAGTCATTTGTTCCGTATGGCTGATGTCAGGCGTGCAGTCCAGAATAACAGAGTAATATCTTGCTGACTTCAGATCTGCCACAATCTTCTGTTTTGACTTTTGTTGCCAGTAACTGTATGATCTCATTTTGAATTGTTTTCCCAAGGTAGTGGTGTGTGTACATTTCTTGGGTGGTGACTCTTCTTAGATGCTCCGGGAGTACAGCATCAAACTCAGCCATCAGCTCCTCAATTTTAAGGAAGTTTCCATTGTTTGGCACATACAGCTGATCTGAAGTGCCACGCAGTGCTAGGTTTTGGGTAGCAAGCAATCTCACAATGGCAATGAGCCTTTTCAGAACATTTTGCCAATAAAGAGACTCTGATGTAATCTTCTCTTGATGCTGATCATCTATGGTGGCCTTTAACCTTAGTCTCATCTCAAGCTCTTTCCACCTATGGAATGCTCTCTGGTGATTTGCTGCCTTCTCATGACATGCCAGATTTCTAGCCAGATTTTTCCAGTCCTTTGTTCCCGTAGAACCCAATGTGGCTGGAACATTAGACTGGAAGAGTTTGCAACAAAAACAGTATGCAGCATTCTGGGTTTTTGAGTACATAAGCCATGGCCTCTCCACTTTGTCACCAATGGGGATTTCACGCCAGTAATGTGTTGGATGGAAACTTCTATTTTCATTGTCTTTGGGGAAGTTTTTCACTTGCTGTGGCCCATGCAGTACAAGGAAGTCCCTCAGGCTACTGCTCAAGTGGGTCCACAGACCTGGATTATCTAGACTTAAGGAACTAAACTCAGCAGCAGCTTTTTTTCGCACTTCCACCACACTCTTCTCTGATCTACACTTTTCTTCAGGAATGTGCATGGTTACATTCATTTGAGATGGAGATATGGATGCTGCAGTAGCTGCCAGGTCACCTGCACTCTGACTAACTGGAAGATCAGGCATCTCCTCACCCCTCACATCCTCACTGGGGCCAGAAGGCTCACTGTGAACATTTGTGTCTGTATCTCAGGAGAGCTCCTTCGTGCTTAGATAGAAAAGCTTCATTTGCTTTCTTTCTTTTTCTGAATGCTGCCCCAGAGGGGCATTTTCTTCTTTCACTCATGACTACTGTTCTGTGCCAGCTATAGTGGCTCTCCACACTCAATTGAAGGGGACAAATAAGCAGGCTGGTAGCAGGGCCTGAGTGAGAGAAGGGCCTAACTGGCTCTTACTACTTCAGTTGTCTGCCTGTTCTCCTCAAGTGGGTTCAGGGAAGCAGCAGGAAACAGGAAGCTCCCTGAGAAGCTGGTGTAATCAGTCCAGGCTCCTGGGGGTGCTAGAGAGGTACGTAAGAGGCTCCTCTTCCTCTCTCTCCCCCTGCAGCTCCTGCTGCTTTCTGTTATTCCCTCTCACCTTTGCTCCTGCCTGTTATGTCTCGTGCCCTCCTTCCTCCAGCACAGCACTCCACCATCTCGGTGCATCTAGAGCAGAGACAATACATATGCACCGGCAGCAGACACAATTTTCTACACTCTGGGTTCTAGGGGCTCCCCCCCCACAGTGTGGCACGTGAGGCGGCCGCTTTAGTTCGCCTCATGGTAAGGCCAGCCCTGATGGAGGTGGAGCTGGGCTGTGAAGTCAGCAGCCGCAGAGCTTCCTGCAGCCAGGGGAGGTTCATGGAGGTGAGTCTGATCTCCCCCCAAAAGTGGCTGTGCAGGGGAAGAGGAAGTCCTGTCTCTCCCTGGCCTGGGCAGGACTAGCAGCTGAAGTATGGTAGGAGCCCCCCCAGCTGGGGCACCCCCAGCCCTGCCCTTCCACCTCCCCTCCAATAGCTAGATTTCACAGGGGAAGTCTGATTTCATGGCCTGTGACATGTTTGTCACGGCCATGAATTTGGGAGGGCCCTAGAAATGCTGCAGTTTTGAAATTTGGTTTTGTTGTGAGAGGTCCATGGCCCCAGAAAGTTTGATGGGGTGGGGAAGCCATCACCAGAGAGAGGGCGAGGACTGGGGAGTAGGTGGCAGCATTGGCAGGGCAGAGACCCAGGAGCACCAAAAGCACTTTGGCAAGGCTGTCTTTGCTTTGTTTTGGGGTCCCTTTGGATGGACTGAATCCAGGCCCCATGTAATTTTAGTCCAGCTGTGGCAATAAAAAGTAGAATTCTCACAGTGCCATTGCTGCAAAGACGGTGTCCAGTTATGCCAAGTAAAGAGAAGGTCCACACAAGTGATCTAGAATGACTGGGATGAAGATGGGCACTAATCCTGGTTTTGGTAGGTTAGGAAAAGTATCCGATTAGTTTCTAATTGGGCCTTTAAATCTCACAGACATCTGAAACAACAAAACTCAGGGCCAGCCTATCAGCAAGCTGAAGTGACAGGAGACCTGAATGGGTGCCTGACTATAAATATTACATATGCTATAGAGATTTGGCACAAATGTTATTTTTTAAAATACCTTTTAACATGAACATACTGTTCTCAACGAATAAACAATGGGGCAGATGGAGCAAGGGTTATATACCAAGGCAGCTGGGTTCTGTGTTACTGTTCATAGAGCTGCCCTGTAGCTGGACTAAACTTTGCTAGGGCTATTCGAAATGAACCCAGACTCCATAATTTGGATGTGGTTCCAGATCAAAATATTCCCAAATTCAAGTTTGTCTCTACGGTTTTGGTTCATCCTATGATACAGATAGAGGAGCGGTGAAGATCAGATAAGGATCCAAATTTTCCCAAGTTTTTTTGGGGGGGGGGGCAATATTTTGGTTTAGCTCAACAGAGATGGGAGCCAGTCATAAAGGTTGTATCTGGATTTGAACTTTCCCAAAGTTTGGAATTGTTTAGATGTGGCATTTTAGTTCTGGCTCATCTCTGTGAGATCAGGTTCTGCATAAATGCCAGTTATTTGTGGGCAACGTAAAGGAGCTGGGAAGCAGAGGACAGTGCTGTCTATACCTGTAACTCCGTTCCACACAGACAGACAAAACAGTCATCTTGGGCCACAGAGTGTTTTGTTTCAGGGATGGATCAAAACAGGTTCTGAAAACAGCAAGATCTGATCCTTTTTTACCTGGTTCAAAAACATTTGCTTCACTTTTAAAAATGAGTTTTCATTTTCTTGGAATTCTGCATGTCCTGGTTCCACCCAAGACTGGAAGCCCTAGGGGAGGCTGTTCATGGTATAACTTCAGCACAGATGGGAAAACTGGCCAATCTCTTGAGAGAACCTATTGAGATTCCCAAAGCCTCATCCTACTCCTGTTGACTACAGTAGAATAGGCCTCATGATCTGCAAACCCAAGGGAGACGTAGGAGTTGGATAAGCCTCCAGATAATAGGGTGTTTATTATTATATTTTGCATAACCCTAGCGCTGAGGAGGCCCAGTGATGGACTAGAACCCCAGTGTGCTAGGTGTTTTACAAACACAGGACAAAGAAAATGTCCGTGCCCCAAAGAGTTTACAATGTCAGTAATCTGAACCAAACACAAACTCACCCCACACCCATTGCGGTTTACCCCGCACTGCACTGAATGACTACATGGCTGGGGGAGGGCGGGGCGGAAAAATTTCAGAGCCATCACATCTTTCATTTCAGAAATCCGCCTACAAAGTAAATAAAGGTGAATGTTCCTCTTCTGTGTCCTCCCAAATGTGTATTTCCACTCACGTGTATGACCTGATTGGAGAGGATTTAGGGAGCCGTGCAGCTGACTGACATCTTGTCCACGTGTTTGGATTGTAGTGCGAGTTAAAAGCACTAAACTGAATTTGAAAGTGAGAACACGGAAGTGAAAAAGAGCACTTTCTGTGGTGTACAGTATCACAGTATTTCAGCATGCCCCTTGTTTGAAATATCAAGGGAATACGACACTGGTGTGTATAAGTCCCGCTGGTAAAGAATGTCTTTTAACTCAGAGGGTCTCTGCCGATTGAAGTCACTAAAAACAGGATTGGGGACTTCAACAGCAGAGTCCAGGGAAGGGGTAGGGACGGTTTTATGGCCTGCAGCATGCAGGGGGTCAGACCAGATGATCATAATGGTCCCTTCTGACCTTAAAGTCTATGAGTCTATGAGTTGTGTCTGTTACAGTTAAGGTGGTTTCCCTGCTCTGAAGCATTCAGGGCTGGCTATCATTTTTGGCTGCATGGCTGTTTTTGTATTGTCTTTTATCCTTCTCCCCCCTCCCCCCATCCTCACATTCTCTGCTGATCACAGGAGCTGGTGCTGATTTTGTTATGCTTGGAGGAATGTTTGCAGGCCACGATCAATGTGCTGGAGAGGTTCTAGAAAAAAATGGCAAGAAGGTGAAACTGTTCTACGGGATGAGCTCTGATACGGCCATGAAGAAGCATGTAGGAGGAGTTGCTGAATACAGGTACAAGTTATAATCTGCTTTCGCTATGGGATGGAATCACCACCAAACCTACTTCTGGATCTGAATTTTGCAACTGGCTCCTGTTACAACCTGGGCTTGTTCCCTCTTCTGGATGAGCACCAGGCTGTTGTAAACAGACCCAACTCCTGGGGCCATATGCTTCCAAGATCCCTGGCTCCGGATAGTGACTGGGCACTGTTCCTAACGCTGGGTGTCTCAGGCACACAAACAGAGGTACAGACTACCTGTTTGACACCCTTCTTGGGCAGTGGAACCTGGCAGTCCATCTGTCTGAGCCCCTCCTGGAACCAGTGCCTGAGCCCCACATTGCTTACTCAAGTCCCCCCAGAATGCACCTGGCTGTGGGAGCTCTGGTATCTTCAGGGACAGTGTGACAGGAAGGTAAGGAAGGCACTCTTAACAAAGGAATTTTTTAATCACAGACACTTTACTCTTGAAAGCACTAGAGAGTTACAGATCTATGGAAAACAACAACAACATTCTCACCCTGATATCAGCCCTGCTGTGAATCCTGGGTTTGATGAGCATCCTTAGAGAATCACCCATCTTTTATCTTAGTCCCTCTTTTGTTCTTGTGCACTTAACTGGGGGAGTTGTGGGTTCCAGGCCCCTTCTTCCCCCAGTTGGCTTCTGTGTAGAGAGTTATTCATAGTTAATAGCCATACCAGTAGAAAACCCATTAATCCAGTAGGGGATAATCATTCAGTGTTGATGGTGCTGTCATACCTCCTCATACATAGTCTTTCCATGAGGGGTCCAGCCAGCCCCTACCATAAAATGGATACTCTAATCCACAAAGGAATTCACAATACAACACGAAGGTCACACTCCAGCAGTAAGGTTATAATGAACAAAATGGGGGTGACCAAACAAAATGGAGTTCACAGACATATCCCCATTCTGGCACAGCCCTTAATTTTGCAGCAGGCCAAGCCACAACCCAGGATGCAAACGCCTCCCAAACTTTCGTCCAAGCCTAAATTTAGCAGCTTGGATCCGTCTTCAGAACTTCTGCATATTATTATTATTACCAACTGTTTTTAAAGATGTAGAAAGTGCCATATAGACATACATCGTACTTATAGAAGGCAGGCAAGACACAATCTTCGCCCTAAGGCATTTAAGTCTAGTGGCATTGGCCTAAATTTCTCGAGCTATTCAGTATCATATATTGGGTTGCAACAAAATGCCTGTAATAATGGAGACCAAAAAAGTTAGTGGCAGGCAAAGTGCAGTCATCGGGGAAGAGCTGAACACAGACATGGTCATGGCACTTCTGCCTTCTGATGTGGCTGAAATCAGACCCATCGAGGAGACAGAGCTGCCCCACTCACTGGTCCAATAATCTGGGCCAAATACTGAGCACAGCTGCTTCTACTCCACTTCCTAAGGAAACCTTTTGGGGAGAAGTAAAAAGACATCTTTAGGACAAAGGAATAGAGAGGGGAAGGTGGGGGGAAGAGAGCTAAGAGAAAGCATGCAATGCGATTTAGTCCCTACTAAAGGGTTAATCCTGCAAAAATAAAAATACACAAGTGGTATAGCCAGCGGGTAATATTTGGATCAAGGCAGGCTCTTTTCCCCCCCCCCCCCCCGATTTAGCAGTATGGGAAGGGCAGGGTGGCTGCAACCTTCCAGTTGAGAAACCACAGGCTAGATTAAGCCTTTGCTCAGTGCCTTGGATATGGGGCAGCACACAGCTGTGCTTCCCCAGAAGGAGCCCTGGAGAAGAATTGTGGTTCTGCTCCTGGGCAGGGATGGAGTTTTTGGACGTTGCTGAGTGTAATATAGTCTCCCCTACTTGCGATCAGCCACTCCACCTCCCCAGCCTGTTGGGTGGGGGGAACCAGGCAGTCCCTACTTGTTCCCCCTGACCCAAGGTCTAGGGTGCCCTAACACTGCCAAATAGCAGTGGGGAGTCTTTCTTTGCAGCTAAAATGCTGCACAAGAGAATGGCCCTGTTTAGGACAAGCTGAAATGTTGCACAAGGCAGTCTGCATGCCTGCATGAGTTGTAATTCACTCGATCACGTCTCATGCCAGTCCCAAGAGGCTGTTAATTTTTTTCCCCATGCCGCCGCTTGGCATCAAAGCATCTGGAACTAACAGTCCGAGTGGATGGCACTAGCAATTATCTTACAATTTAAAAATGGCAGTTGCCAGTTACACACAGGCACTGGCAGCCTTTCATCTGAGCTGCAATTACAAACTCTACTTTTGCCCTCTTTTTTATGTCAGTGACTGGAGCGTGTATACAGCAGGGCAGGTCTAAACCATTACATTGTTCAGCACAGTGTGTCATTAATGACCATTTCACAATGGAACAGACCACCCAAACAAGCCCAAGCAAATCTGTGGAGGCTCAATTCAGTTAGTGACAGGCCACTACTGATGTTGGTGAAGGTTGTAGGTAAAGTCTGAAAATCCTTGTTGTAATGCAAGCCAACATGCTGAGGATTGGCATTGGCATTGGCAACTGAAAGGCCAAATTCCACCCCCTGCTTACAACAGAGAGAGAGAGCGAGCGTGTGTGTGTGTGTGTGTGTGTGTGTGTAACTGGGGGCAAGATTCATCGCTAAGGTTCTGACAGTGGAGTAAATTGATAACCCAGTGTCCCATAGGGATAAACAGTGCAGAAGGAAATTTAGCTACTTAAACTTAAAGGTTAGTTGCTTTCAGCCCCTGCCAGAAATTCTGCACAAGCTGCCATCCTGTTAGATGCGCACTCCCTCTTTTCCACTCCCTAATTTATGAAGGCTTAGAGTCCTCAGGGAATGTGTTACACAAGCTTCTCCGACTCTCCCAGGCAACTGAGGACGAGGGAGAGGGCTCAGCCTCTGAAAGTTTCAATAGCCAATAAGAGGCTGCTACTGCTGTGTCGTAAGCAGTAGGTTACATAATTGTGTACGGGGGATTCCTGCTAGCAGCAAACCTTGGAATCCAGCCAAGCAGCGTAATACTCTGCTGCATTGGCACTGGCTGTTAGATTTTGCCTTCAATTCCATAGGGGTAATGCTAAACTAACTCCACTGAGGTGCCACAAATTCTAGCCCAAAGCCAAATCTGGCCCAAAGTGCCATCTCTAAAAAGTGTCCAGTCTAACCTCAGCATTTATAATCTTGGGTGCCTAAAGGCAAGGGCTTGCTTAGGGTTTTCAAAGCGGCCAGAGGGAACTGCTACCCCAAACCTATTGAAATTCTGTGGGTGTTGAGTGCCTTGCACTCCTTTGAAAATCCCAGCTATCAGTCTGTGTTGAGGTACCAACAGAAGTGATTTGATTTTCAGAAGTGCTGAGTCCCGCAACTTCCATTCAAGCTGCTGCGGATCTGGAAGCCCTCATCCACTGTGAAAATCAGGCCACTGGATTTATGCTCTCAAAATTGAAAATTTTGCCTCGAGAACCCTGTCACAGTTCAGGGCAACTGCTCCTGTATTTCCCCCAGTGGTACACCAAGGGCACCACATCTAGGCTCATGGTTCCTCAGCCATCACCTCTCTAGGATGGAGACCGGCATCTCACTCACTCCTGATGGGGCTATTTCTTCCTTGGACCAGAGGTCCTGCCATTTGCTGGAGCAGAAAGAAGGCCCTGAGTCAGGTTAAACTCAGGATTTTTGGTTAAATAGCTTTTCTTTCTCAGTTGGTCCCTGGAGAATCTAGTGTGATCAAGTATATGCAAGCTTTCCTCCAGGTAGTGGTAGCTCTCTGGAGGTGTTACAACCTGAGTGTATTTGAAATCATGATCTTTGACCTTCCCTGTTGTAAAAAGACACCCAACCCTAAACCCTAACAGATAGTAAAATATTGTCCAAAATACACATTATTGCATTCTCCTAACGTGCTATATAACCAACTGCTGCTTGAGCATTTTCTGAACACGTTAACTATGAAGTGGCTTTAGGATTTTGGACACAAATGAAGCTTTCCAACCACTTTAAAGCACAAGATCCTATTCCCAGCAATCACAGGATAATGCACATTTTAAGCCCCTCTGCCTTGCCCCAAAGAAGATGTTTGCCTCGTGTTGCCCAATCATCTTATTCAAAGGAACACAAAGAGCAGATGACAGCTGGGGACATTCCATTACAGCAGGGACTGCAAAGGGTGGGATAGTGAGACAGGAAGGATAGGTGTGAAAATCACAAGACCAAATTCTTCCCTGACCTAAGCCCACAGACTTCAACTTCTTTCTTTTTGCCTCCTGAGGAATAACAAAAATGTGCTTTGAAAGACAGTGCAGGACGTTTGCCTATGTGCCAGTCATTTACACTATATAAAGTATTTCTGCAGTCTGCCCTGTTGGAATAGCTCGAATTCTGCCTTCAGCTGAGTAAGCCCCCTGCAGTGTAAATGAGGAGTGCAGAATTGGGTTGGTACATTGTAAACTCTCCTGGCAGAGAAGCCTAATCTTTATCTGTTCTGTAATGCACCATGCACACTTCCCGTGCATGGGACAGAGCCTCAGCTGAAGTCAATAGGGATAGCTCTGTTCAGTGCTTAATTTGTAATGAAAGAGGTGCTGGGGCTCAAGCAATTTTTCTACTTTCATAACGGATGCAGCAAGCCCAGCAGGTGCCGGGGCTATGAACTGCCAAGCCTAGAGGTGCCGGGGCTCAGCCCTGGCATAGCACAGGCCCTGGTACATCACTGAAGCTATGGCAGTTTATACCAGTGGAGGATTAGCCCCAGTATTTTTAAACATTGCCTTGGCCTGTCTGTCTGCTGGGGTAAGGCTCAATCTTACTGCCTGGGGCAAAACTGCCATTTACATAAACAAAAGTTTTGCTTTAGTAAAAACAGAAGGATCAAGCCCATAATGCGCTCAGGCATTGTTTGGGCATTTGCCAGAAGCATTCGCTTCCTCTTCACAGTACTTGGTATGACTTTGGTACAATGCACTGCACAACCTTTGAACACCCAACAGGAACGGGCAGCAATCAGTAAAGAGCGGAAGGTTCTTTAAAATGATAAGCTGCTGAGTGTTGAAAAATTCATTCCACGCTACTTCCAACTCTCTGTCTGCAGGGCTTCGGAGGGCAGAACCGTGGAAGTGCCTTACAGAGGGGACGTGGAAACCACCATCTTTGATATCCTCGGGGGCCTGCGATCCACCTGCACCTATGTGGGAGCTGCCAAGCTCAAAGAGCTGAGCAGGAGGGCGACATTTATCCGGGTCACCCAGCAGCACAGCCAGGTGTTTTCTTAACCAAGGACTGGGACCTGTGAAATGCGTCTGCCGCTTCTCCCCACTTCCTCTGTGTTTTGTGTTAGAGCTTCATGGGGGCAAACCCCCCAGGCTGTGGAAGTAGGTGGGTCAGTTGCCACTGGTGACGGGGTTAAGCAGAAGGACATGCCATCAAACACAGCGCCATGTAGGATTCTTTTGGTTCACGATGCAATAGCCTTATCTTTTAAAGTCACGTCTGTTTGTTTTAAATCTATTTTTTTTTTTCTACCATTTATTTTTCTCTCTGATAAAGAAGCCTCCATTCACAGTGAGTTAGCCTTCCAGACCCTGATCGCTGTTACCAAGTTTTAAAACATCCCCACAACCTCTTGCTAGCACTTCTCCAGCAGTACGGGCTGTAGGAGCTGCCGGCTGGGAGGGGATGTTGATGTTCAGTATGTTGATCTGTGTAACCAAAGATCAAAGCCATACTTTTTGACCTTTCAGATGGCTGGATGAGCCAACGTTGCTGCTGCATTTTCACTGTGATGTTAAAAATACTGGAGCTGTATCAATGACATTTCATGTGCCTTTTAAGGCCTTTTGTATTTAAATCACTATATTAACGGACTTACCTCTCCATAGACACTGGCGTTATAATGTAGTGAGTGCTTCCTCCTCCCACCCCCACCCAGAACATTTAACAGGGTACCAGTTTTTTAGTGGATACAATCCTCAGAGGCTCAGGGGTCCTGTTTTTAACATAATCTCTGAATAGGTTTTGAAGCTGTAGACACACAGCAATACTCAACACCAGCAGCCTGATTCTGCACAGCTTTGTGATTTGCATAGTCATTTCAGCTGCCACAAAGCGACTACGGATACACACTTGCTTTACCCGGGTGTTGAAATGATTACACATTGAGCAAGGCCTGGGGAATCAGGCCAAAGGGGTCAAATCCATCTCTGTGTTACTCTGGTGCAACTATTTTGAAGTCATAGGTGTATCCGAGAGCAAAATATGGCCTGCAGTAGACCAGCTGAAGACTTCGTTGCAAGAAGCCAGTTGTCTGATCTTGAGTTAAAGCAGTTGCTGTGAAGACAATAATTAATATTTTAGACTCTGGGCAACACTTTAATAAACTGTAATGGTAGAGTAATTAATTGATAAATCACAATGAAATTTCTTTGGAAGTACACATTGAATCCCCAGGAATACCACAGTAGTTCATTATGATAAATGTTATTAGAGTGAATACCAATGAATTAATAATGACCGGCCACTTACTTTAGCGTGTTACTGAGATATCGATACAGTTGGAAACTGAAGTAACTTCAGAGTCTTATTTTTCCTTCCATGGAAAGATATAGACTTCCTTTGGAATGCAAACCTGTGACCTGTGGGAAGAGGGGCAGGCAGGAAAGCAAATGGAATTATTCTAGCATTCTTTGTTGTTTAGAAAAGATAAAAGAGAATCGGTACAATGGAACATGTTAAGTAACAAATCTAATTCCCAAATCAGTCATTGATGGTGTTAATCAGATTATGCATAATGGGAAAAGCCTAGATGATCCTTCATCTGAAGGCAGGTGGTTTAGAATTAAATGTTAAGTATTCTCCATTAAACGCTGTGGACCTGATTCTCATTTACAAGACGACTCTGCCCTGGTATTTTACAGGGGGGGGAGGCTTAAAGAGGGCATAGGTTACATGTACGCTCATTTTAAGGCCCATTTACACGGCCAGAGTAGTGTAAAGAAACTTAAGTGTAAATGAGAATCAGGCTCCCAGGCCCTGCAAATTAACTTTTCTTCTGAAGTTGGAATTTATATGTAGTGAACTCTAACAAGGCAGCCGAATGCTTTCTTTACTACAAAATAAATAAAAATATTGTGGGCCAAATTCTGCTGTCAGTTAAACTGATGTAAACCCAGAGTAGCTCCACTGAAATCTATGAAGTTACTTGGAATTTACATAGGTATAACTAAGAGTAGACTGTGCCCCCTCTGCCCCCCCTTTTGCCCCCATAAGAAAAGTGTATTTGTATACAGGTAAATCAAAACTTCTTCAAGGAATGAGGTTATACTGAATATACACTCATACCACCAGTGCATTTCCATACTTGTGCCTTCATACTTCAAAAGTGTGGCTGTCTCCTAGATGCTCCCAGGTTGGGATGCTAATTGGTTTTATATGTTTTTTGGGGCTACATTTATAAATGTAAAGTTTTTTTTAAACCTCTGCACATTTAAAAGAATAGATCTTTAATGTACACATTGGAACGGCTTCTTTTCTGCAGTGAAAACTCCTTGATTCTCCCCTGCCTTGGCCATTATGGAGTCAGTTACACCTGTGCAAACAACAGTATGTAAAATGCAGCCATTCGGACTTGATGGCATTTTACACCCACTTTGCACAGGTGTGAAAGACTACTAAAGGTCCCACTAGTGGATAATGAAGCACTACATGGTACATATCCACTGCAGCTGGAAGGTGTGATGTCCAGCGTGGGTGGACACTTTTTTGCTAGCTCAGTGTGAGCTAGTGAGCTAAAGATAGCAGTGTGGATGTAGCCACCGAAGCTTAGACTCAGGCCTTGGCTACACTGGCAGTGTACAGCACTGCAACTTGCTGCACTCAGGGATGTGAAAAAACACCCCCCCTGAGCGCAGCAAGTACAGCGCTGTAAAGCACCAGTGTAATCAGAGCCTGCAGCGCTGCAAGCCGCGGTAGCGCTGTGAAGTCCCGAGTGTAGCCAAGGCCTCAGGGTTTTGGGTGGGCTTGAACTCAGGTGGCTAGTCCATGCTGCAACACCTACACTGCTATATTTAGTGTACTAGCTCAAGCTAAGGTAGCACTAGGACTCTCACCACCCAGCTGCAGTGTAGACGTACCCATAGGCTTTAGAAGCCTGGTGGGTTCTATAGGTTCTATGCGATGCTGGGGAAAAAAGAAGCCATCACTATGTTGCTGAATTATTTTTAATAGCACCTTACCCTCTTCTTGGTAACCAGCAGCTGTTTCCACTGGAAGGGAAATAAGTAACAGAAGGCAGCCAGCTGTAGAGCAGTTCAACTGGTGGAGACCCACCCTGTGTGGTTCAACTGGGTGTTTCTTCAGAGGACACCTTCAGTCAGATGGCTCCTTTCACAATGCCCCCGGTACAAATACGTATGCGTACAGCAGGCACACATTTGAAAGTGGAACAAAGAGATTGGCCTGAGGCTAACTCAGGACCCAGTTTGGTGAGGTGACAGGTGCCCTCAATGTCTGTAGGACCCAGCTCCTCCTCCTGCTCCAGTTAGAAGCCAAACTCTTGTTGAAGTCATTGGAAGTTGAGGGTGTGCTACACCTGGCAGTATTAGGCCCTGAAGCAATTAACTTGAGCTACCTCATCTGATCATTTTACAAGGTTCTCCAGTTCTTAGTGTCCTTCCCAGGGGCTTAGCATTGTGCTGCACTTCATGAACTGCTACCGGTCAGCTGCCAACAGAGCCCCCCCCCCCTCCGCTACATTGCAAGTGTCTTAAGCAGCGGCTACCCATGACACGGGGCCAAATTCTGACTTGCTTTCCACACCCTTGCAACACCACTGACATCAGTGCATAAGAGGAAAGTTAGAATTTGGCCCCACTGGCTCCATCAAGATGTAGCTAACGTGCCACATTGCTTTAAAAAATGAAGCTAGTTAAAACAAATCTGATTAACAGGTTTGGGTACGATAATACACATTTAAAGCCAAAGCCTGCACAAGGCATATGCATCTCTATGTCCCCCGTGTGACAGCAGGGGAGGCCGTGGAGCACTACTGTAGGAGTGGTGCCTACACCACAGCACCAAGGGATTGTGGTCTGACAGGGAGTGCTGTGTGTGGTCAGTGAATGTGCTGGGACCAGGGGTGAGGATGGTCTGTGGTAAGAAGAGGTACACACTGTCCTCAGCCCACTACCTTAGCTTGCTCAGCATCCTCAGGGGGGCTCTGGAAAGCACCATGTGACTGGCACACTTCTGTGCCTTCCCCCATCGCCCTGAGTGGGTAAGTGTTGGATTTTGCCCTTGCTGCTGTCAGGTGTTGTGTGCAGGGGTCGTTCCAGGAAGCACAAGTTAGGAGGGCTTTCGGGAAGTTTGCTGAGGATGGTGAAAGGTGAGAGCTTTTGCAAGTCTTCCAAGACACAGTATGACACCATCACTGGATCCACGATTAATATTTTAATCCATGGGCATTTGTGGTCTGAAACTCCTGCTAGGCCTAATTCTCTCACGCACCAGTTTCACATTGGTATAAACCCATTGACTTCAACGGAGTCGCTCCTAATTTTCACCAGTGTAAATGAGAGCTAAACCAGGCTTCTCTTGCCACTCTGATGGGCATTTAGGCCAAATCCTCTGCTGTTGGAGTCAATGGGAATTTTGCAGCTCACCTCAGAAACACTGCAGGATATGGCTTTTTGGGTTAGAGTGGGAAAATCACAAGGCCTAGGTGTGGCAGTGTGACTGCACCGCTAAAGCCCACCTGCAGCAAGGCACTTGTTTGCTCTGTCTAGAAGCAATGTGTTTTCTTTGGGGGTTGGTTGGTTAAGAATTTTGAATAAGCTTGCGGTATTGCCACCTGCTGCATGACTTCTATGCTGAAAGTGCCCTAAATGCAATCAGTCTTGCCCACTAATAATAAGGGTCCCCTCGTCCCCCCCATCTGCCTTAGACTTAGTTCTTTTTTATTCATTTAGACATTTAGGCCGGTCCTCTGGATGTGACTTCACAGCATCAGCTATTACACCGCTGACATGGATAACATTTCCAAACATATGTAATAAATAGCCCAAAGCTCCTATGTGACAAATAAAGTTTGTGATAATTTTGAAGACCACACATGAAGTCTTTAAAAAAGAGTGAGTTTTAACCATTTTCATAACACTGCATGCGCCACAGCGGAGATGATTAAGAATGGGCATCTTCTTTCCTCATTTGTAGCCAAAAAACGGTGCACAGAATGTGTCTGCTATGATGAACTTACTCATATAAAGTGATCATATTGTGCACCCTGGCTGTTCTGTTATGAAATAAACGGCTTCACTCTGGCGGACTGGATAGGATTATATGCTGAATGTGGGAATGTGCAAACTTCTATGTATAGTGATAAAAACAAACTCCATAAAAACTTGTGGCTGAAGCTAAATCTGAAGGGGGACAAATTAAATGGACAAATTATTCTTTCATAGGAAAATTGTCTCTCATTCTTTCTTAACGCATAAAGACAGACACACATTTGCAATTGGCACTGTTATTTTATTAGTACGAGTATACTGAAACAATAAACTTGTACTGGTATACAGACAGTTTCTTTAAAACAATTTTGTTCAAATTTTGAATCAAACATTGTTTTATTATAATAATGAAATAATTTCTACCTAGAAAACCTGCAAGCACCATCAAAGAAAGGGACCATAAAATTCAATAAACAGACGCGAGTGTATCCTACAAATAGACACACCACCATTAGAAAATAGAATATGAATTCTTCCATTTTTTTAATATTTGTTTTAAAAAAGCTAGTGCAAGTACAATATTTTACACTGGAATTACAGAGAGTATGCACGCATATGGAAAAAAGTTCTCCTGTCACAATAAAAGCTCTTAACTATGTCTGTATGCACTTAAAATTTTCTCCTCTTTTCATTAAGGTGCAAAACATTATTCCCTCCCTATTTCTCCTTTGTACTGGCCATGTCAGCTTGATTTCTCCTCAACACAAAGCTGCATTATCCCTTTTTCTGAGCCTACATTAGGCGCAACACTGGAAGTGTGATTTGCAACAACCCTCTTCAGAAATACCAAGCAATGAAAACCTTGGAGACTATTATTGTAGAATCACTAGACTTACCCACACGAGGACTTTCCTCAAGTGCCATGGCTAGTTGGCCAGTCCAAGCCTGCTGGCTGTCAAAGACTGACACTGCTACTACAAAATTATTTTCAGTAGCTAATTTGAATGGAAAAGTTTGGAAATTCCCCTTTTTAAACACTGCAGAGAGAACAGTGTTCACAAAAAGTTAATATTTTAAAAAAGCCAAAGACAGAAATACATACATTAGTGAGTTGCAACACTAGCTGACTGTCTGCGAAAAGTTATACCTGCTGCCTTAATAAGATTAGTAACTATGCTAAGTAGCCAAAGGGCCAGACAGAAGACACGAATTTAACCACTTGCAGCCACAGTTACAGAGATCCAGCAACTTCTGACTTCAACTGGAGAGAGAGAGAGTGTGTCTCTCTCTAAAGCTAGAATCATCAGGCTCTTTATTTTTAAAGCAAACATAAGGGGCCAGATCTAGTTGGCTGCTGCTGTTTTCACACAACCCAGTAGTACAGCTTCAAAGAGTGAGTAAGGATTAATGCAAACAACACTTCCAATGCATGCCTGCAGCATGGTCAAGGGAAAGGGCACAGGAGCTTTGATCACTCAGAATAGAAACAAACGAATGAACAACAAAAAAGCCAAACTTGGATGAAGCCTCCAATTAATTCTCAGTGGAAGACTTGAGTCCTTTCAGATAATGACGAGTAAAACTATAGCAATCTTAGAGACTGTTATTGTATAACTACCTATTGGCTGAATGCACTTCATTCTAATACATTTGGGGTCATTCTTTTGGGTGTCAAGGAGTCATTTTAACGTAATTATTTCCCCCCCCCCCCATGTGACCATTAGGTATCAGAACTGAAGCTTGCGTTACAGGCTGTCAGGGGAGGGAGAGAAGGGTTCTGAAAGTTAACTGTTTATCCCGGCGGTGGGTAGGCTCCCAGCAGTCCAACTTGACCTTTGGCCAAGGAAAGGGCCCTTTCCTTGGAAATGGCTCAAGGATTCTTTCATTTTGGCCTGTGAATAACATGAATCTCTAAATCAAATGAGAAAGAACCTGTCCAAGCTCAGAGCACATCTGGAAAAACTGAAATTCATGTCTTTACCCCCTGTTTTAATGAGGTGGGAGGGTGTGTGTACACAAAAGGCCATGTCTCATTGGATATTACTCTTATTTACTGGTAAGCGAGGATCCCTTGTTATAAACACTTCTTGTTCAAGTTATAGTCTTTGGGTTGATTGGAACAGGAAGTGCTGAAAATGTAGAACAGCATCCCAGAGGGAGTAAAGAAGTTACAATGGCTTCAGAATCTAAACTATGCAGGGTGCTTTAAGATATATTTTCAGCGCAGGAACAAACAGTGTGAAGCATTCCCCCCTTCCCCCGCATTGGGATTTATGTGATATGAACAGAAAATTGAGCATAGTTGTTCTTTGAGAGCCTTTTAAGTATATAATTCTTCCTGTCCAGAGCCAATACAAATCAGATCATCTAAATGTGACAGTTTCTATATACAAAAAACATGTAACTTTCAACCTTTCTCTGCTTTTGTACTTTAAAAAAAATTCTTTTTTTTTTTTACAAACAAGGTATGAAACACACTGTTTCAACAGATCCATCTCTTTTTCAAACACTGAATGAATCATTCCAACATTCATTTTTCTTTTGTGCAATTTTTTAAAACATTACCTGTACTCCTCAATGTGAGTGCTTCCAAAAAGTTTTTTTTTGTAAGCTTCTCAAATTAGGTTTACATCAAAAAAATATTCCCACAAGGTATAGTGCTACAAGAAAAGATCCTATCAGTAAGGTAACACATCTGAAGCGAGGTCGTCTATGTAAAAGAAATTAACTCTGGAGTAGAGGTGTGCAACTTGTTTGGAATTTCCTTATCAACAGAAAACACAACACTGTCCTTGAAAAGGATACAAAATCAACTGAACATAATCATTTGCTTTTATATGTGTGTGTGTGTGTGTGTACATGCACATGTATACACACACATACACCTCTATGTTTGTGGGTGGACTCCGTTTATTTCAGGATTTTGGGGATTGGGGAAAAAAAAAAGCCATGAAAAGAAAAGCACTGACCACACTCTGCTAAAATTCCTTTGCTTTTCACATCAACACTGGGTAAGTCCACAGATTGGACTCTGCTGTTTGGTGCTGTCCGAAGTCACGGGAAAGGAAGAAGTGGAAATTATTTTAGAAGAGTGCAGGTTGCACTTTCCCATTTTTGGGTATGCTTCATAATAGAAGTGACAACAGGTCAGATTCTCATCTCAGTTACACCCGTGCAAGTCTGGACTAACTCCACTGATGTCGATAGTTACTCCAAACGTATAGCTGTTGTAACTAAGATCACAATCTGGCTCTAAATGATGGAGCCACTAATTTCTGTAAACACTTATCCATGTAGTTAACATTAACATGTATAGTCCCCGTGCCTTCCATAGGCCTAATTGGATACTTAAAGTTAAGCACATGCATAAGTGTTTGCAGAACTGTGGCCTCCTGCCCATGGCATTACATACTAAGAACCCTAGTGAAATAACACTATTAGTGTTTTTTAAATAGTTAAGATTGGTTCTCCCTGAAACATTTTTTTTCATTTTAGTAGTCACATGCATTAACAGAATTTCATCGTTTTCTTTAATATTGGCAACATACTTAGGTAAAATTAATCTCTATGCAACAAGAGAGTCTCATGGTAACCAACAGCTACGGTTCACTTTGAATCTGCTGCTTTGTATTGCAATTTATGTGATATATACAAAGTTAATCCACGAGATGCAGGAAATCCAAACTTGTCCTTGAAATTGTACATCCCTACTCCAGAGCAGTAAAAGTGCTGCTTCTGGTCACATCAGTGTACCACACATACGCCAGCCCCATCCCTGAGTAAGAGGTGTGAAAGGTTTCTAAACGTTCCTTGCTTTAGGGAAACAAGAGCAGTGATGTCACTTCCTGGTGCTGAGAAAATGACAGAACAACGGTTTAACGAAGTGAGGACAGGGTTAAAAAAAATGGAACCCCCCCCCACCCAAACATACATTAAAAAAAAAATCCCCCCCCAAACCCCACAACAACAATGTACAAAATCATTAAATAGTTCAAACAAAAATCCAATTTGGGTTTCAACTAAAGGACTTGAGGTAAGTGACATCAAACTCCAAATTCCCCATGATGTGGCCCAGACAAACTGAAACGATGCCTAAGTTAAACACTATAAGGAACAGTCATTATATATAGAGAGATAGAGAGATATATTGGTTTTTTAGAAATCCCTATAAAGAGGTTCTTTATTTTTTCTTTTGCCCTGACTAAATTTCTTGGTGATTGTATGCATTTCATTGTAAACTAAACAGGTCTGGTACAAAAAAAAAAAAGACTTGTCAGTTAATATTGCAAAGTGGACACTGTACAGAGGCACATGACTCATCCTTTTACACTGAACTCACCTAAATATTTCTATGCCTGTGATTGTTATTTTCACTGTGCACCTCAAGCCACAAGAATTCTAGCCACATCTACACTTCAACATTAGATTGACCTAGCAATGTTGCTCAGGGCTGTGAAAAATGTCATATCCTGAGTACCACAGTTACGTCGACCTAACAACATGCACAGGGGTGAATTTCACCCACATTGTACATCAAGCAGATAGTAACATTCATATACACGTGCATGTAAAGTATAGGTATATTATATATATAAAGTAACAGTTACAGGCATAGATTGAAGAGAAAATGACACTGATAATGCTCTAGAAGGCTGCTTTCAGTCATGTAAGAGACGATGTTATTTACTCATGACTGAACTGTTTGCGATTTACAGGTCCCTCACATTCACAAAATTCTTATCCCCCCCTTTAAAAATCTTTTTTTTTTTTGTGGGAGGGAACATCCACTAAGCCTTTTTCTGGATCTTCTTCTTTATATTGCGGAGGCCAGGGACTTACATTTGAAAGAATATGGACCATCCAGGGCCATCGATCCATGTGTGCCACACCTGTTAACTACATACAGATTCTGTGCCCCCAATCAAGGGAGGTATAAGGCCCTAAACACTTTTATTTTGGGAGGAGAAGGGTAGAGAAAACAGTGAAAGAAAACAAAAAGGTGAAAGTGGAAGAGGGTGTGAGATCTAGCTACCACCACGTGGGTGGGTCTACGTTGGCACATAAAGTATTGCACATCCTAAAAAAGCAAAAGCACAAAAAGGGACAATTGCTTGGAAGGAACCAATTATTTCAGAATTCCTAAATCTGAAATACAAGCACAGAACTAATACATTCCTATTGCTCCAAACTTTTTTTATTTGTTTATTGTTAGTGTTAGTAGAATAGATCCAGTCAGTTTAAGAGTCCCTGCTTCTTTACTAGCCAAAAAGATGTGTGTGTGTGGTTTTATTTCAGATTTTCTGAGTATGTGTATTATGAATATAGTGGTACTAATGTGAACTAAAATCTAATTCTGCCCACATCTTTCTATTCCTCTTACCATCAAAGGTTAAAACATAACAAAAAACAAAACAAACAAAACAACAATAAATTGCAAGTGCCCTGAGCGGAGTATATGGAAGATTAAGCAAGTTCTCTGAGCAGAAACGTTAAAAAAAAGTACAGCACTAGATAAGCAGTGTGACCATGAGAATGAACCTGCTCAGCTGTTTGGTAGCCTGCTGAGAGGTTAATGAAATTCAAGGAAATTCAAGAAAAGTTTCAAGCTATTTTAAACTTATTTAAATCTTTTTGGTGCATCGCAGAAAATGGTATAAAAACAATTAGTTCTGGTGTGAGCTAAATTTCAAGTAATGAATAAAAGAACCAAAAAGCTGGGGGGGTTTCAGATTTTTTGTAAATAAAGGAGCTGGAAATACTGTATTTTAGGAGCGGGAAAATGAGATTTTTAAGGAATTTGTTCCTTTTAGATACTGTATCTCTAATCAAGAACTTTTATAGCCTACTTCTCCCTATTAGTACAGCTTCTTCAAAAGTACTTGAAGGATGCAAACTCAATTACAAAACAAAAGTAATAGTAATATAAAGGCTTGATCATGGAGGGCCTAATCCAAAGCCCACTGAAACCAATGGGATTGAATGCAATGGGCTTCAGCTCACACCTGAAGTGCTTAGTACTTGCACCTCCCGTTGACAGGAACCAAAGGTGCACAGCACCTCTAAGGATCCGGCCCTACCTTTGTTTCAGATTACTGGGAACAAAAAAGACTTAGCTGTCTGAAACCACCATTCCCTCTTACTGTTTTGTACCAAACTCTGAAATCAAGATTGTATTTCAACTGGAAAATGTCATTAAAACAACAAATAATAATAATAATAAAATAACAACCATTTTTTTTATAAAATCCTGCTTATGTATAGAGATGTCTTTTCTGGAAAACTCTCTCAATTTATCTGAAGAAAAATTCTCCGAGTTGTCCTGCTAAGACCTGGTTCTGTGCGATAGATATGGCAGAAAGACCAAAAATGAACTTTAAAAGGAACATAACTCTATAAAATGGCCTAGAGCTTAGGCAGGTTAGTAAATAATTGCTACATTTGTTTATGCTCTCTCAGTCCCCCTCCCTTCCCCACAACATTATTAGGTAAAAACTGCAGGAATACCACACAAATGATAAACTCAAGATGTGCAAATTGCAAGATTCTTTAAAGTCCATCTTTTTCAAAAACACTGGACAATAATGATTTTTTTCCTCTTTCTTTTTTCCTCTCTCTTATTCTTTTATTATCTGTCAGCTCGCATATGCCTTTAACTCTTTCTCAAGCATTAAAGTTTTAAAAGTGCCTCCTATTAAGTAGTCCTTTGTGGACAATGACTGTCACATACTAGTTCAATAATTCACATTCATCCCTTTGAAACCACATTAAAATTTCCAACATCTTGCTTGTGAGAAAACTCTACATAGTCATATGTAGTTAACAGTGTTGAATAGATTCTTTTTTTCCCCCTCAAACAGATTAAAGTGAGATACAGTACTTATTGAGTGTTAGACCAGGATGCTCGACAAGAAAGCGTGAACAGCATTTTAAGTGCTTAAAGACATTCTATGTTCATCTTCAACGTCCGATTCCTTGTGTCACACTGAATTTTGAAAAAAGTGGCACCAGTTGTCCATCGTCATGAACTAAAAACAGTACTAGAGTTAAAGACAAAGATTTGCAACCTAAATGCAAACAATTTATGTCTGCGCTCTCAAAGGGGCAGTACGTGTCTACCTTGTGGAAGCAAATGTCAATGGCATAACCTGATCAATTTATCTAACACTGCACAGAACCAGAAGTTTCCCCTTAGCTAGGGGACCCAACGAACTTTAGGCTTCCCTCACCCTGGCTATGTCATTATGAAAAACTAGCAGTGTAACAATGCAAGCATAGAACCTTAATGAATGTTACACTCTGGCAATGGAACTGCACTAGCAAGCCGAAAATAAACATTTGCGTGGCAGTCACTTTATGAATCAAATTCAGTGCAGTCGGACCCCATGGGGGAAAATATATATACTGTAGAGCCTTGACTAAGAGTTGGTTTGATTGTGAAATGTGTCAAAGACTGTCTGATCCTTTTTTAATCATGTGTGTGTGTGTTGGGTTCTTAGTGTGCTCTTGGCGCGAGAGAACCTCCTAACGAAACCAGCCAGGGAGCTGCAATCCCTCCTTGGGACTGAAACACACACAGTGCATGCAGTGCAGTTTATCTCTGCTACAGTTCCCATCTCGTCACCTCACAGAAAAAAGAACAGCTGGAGTCTGCTCTACACTAGGTGACAGAAAACAGGAGCCATGACAACACATTCATTTCCACTAAGGGTGCGTGAAGCAGATACTGCCCCTTCTGTAGCTCTCAATAAACCTAGTCACTGACAAAACACTTGTGGAAAAACATATGCACCTGTCTCCTGCATAATACCAGCTGCAACTATAACAACAAGGTTATAACATAAACCTAAAATAAGATGATAACATGTAAATACTGGGTTATTTAGTCTACAGTACAGTAATCTGGATAAAAATGACAAGGGATAGCCTAATTTCCTTTCCCCAAACAGCCTTTACTTGCCTACGTTAGATCGACCTTCAATGCAAATTTTAACCTCCTGAGGAATAAAAGAAGGCTTGGGAAGAGTCAAAGGTGGTTCCTCTTCTGATTTCTCTAGTTTCCGTGTTTCAGGGGCCGACCACCTCCTCTTCCTCGTCGCCGTGGGCTTGCTGGGTTCTGTTTTGGTGAGCAAAGGTGCTGCAGGCAATCCTATTTTGTCCAGAAACTTCAGTTCACCATTCTCAGATAACATCTGTGCACTTCCCTGATTAATACCATTTTCCTGCTCCACATACCTGTGTCTACTTCCAGCTAGACTGTCATTCTTTGAGTGCTTCAGCAAGATACTAGCTGAATCCATGGGTTGGCCCTTTTTAATAGAGCCATTCTTCAGATTCTTGAGAGTAAGCGATATGCAGACATCCCCAACTGAGAGTTTGGAACATGGCAAATCAAAGAGGTGGCTGGTTCTCTCAGGGCAGCAGGACGACCAGCCTTGTCCAAATACAAAAAAAGGGTATTCGACCAAGACTTCAACGCTGACCTGTAGAAAGAGAAGAAAACAAGAGAGAGAGAGGGAGAGAGAGAGAGAGAGAACATGAATATGAAAACATTGATCCACTATAGTATGTGCTCACTACACATACAGTTAAGGTCAGCTCTTTAGTTTTAGCTGGAGAGACTGATAAATATGTGCACTGTAAAAGCTTATTCAGTATCCATAATGACAGGTTTCAGAGTAGCAGCCGTGTCAGTCTGTAATGTCACTACACTGGACATTAAACTTAATGTTAATGCCCTTTTAACAAGGACAAACAAGTCCTCTGAGACTGGCCAATCCACAGCACAAAACCACAACAGTGTTTGAGCCTTATCTTTATCATCTGCTTAACAACATGCAATGAAGCTTGGGCATAAACAGTTCGGATACCATTTATTAATCTTTTATTCACTGTGCATTTATCTGGTATAGCCTGCCATTCACATTTACCTTAATCCTTAGAAGATGAGGTTACTCACCTTGTGCACTAACTGGAGTTCTTCAAGATGCGTGTCCCTGTGGGTGCTCCACTTCAAGAGTGCATGTGCCCCTGCACCTTTGATCGAAGCATTCTGGTAGCAATGCCTGTTCTGCCAGTACATGTGCCCTACACATCCTCATGCCCAGTACCGAGGCTATTACAGGGCTGTGTGGGCGAGCTGCCCTCAGTTCCTTCTCTACTGTAAAGCCACAGAGGCAGCTCCGAAGCAGAGGGTGGAGGACAGGTAGTACAGCACCCATCAGGACACACCTCTGAAAGAACTCCAGTTACTGCACAAGGTGAGTAACTTATTTGAGTAAGTGTCCCTATGGGTGCTCCACTTTAGGTGACTCCCGAGCAGTAACCCTTTAAGGAGGTGGGAGTTTTGGAAAGGGTCCATCACTGAAGAAAGAACTGCATTGCCTAATACCACATCTGATCTTGCAGTGTGAATTAGGGCACAATGGTTGGAAAACGTGTGCACCGAGGACAAGGTTGGAGCCCTGCAGATTTCAGCAACTGGAACATCTTTGAGTAGAGCTACTGATATAGCTCTGGTCTAGTAGAGCATGCAGTCACTTTTAGGGGAGGTGTAACCTCAGCAAAGCCACAGCAGGCAATAATCAGTTTAGAAAGTCTTTGAGTGTTGATAGGCGTTCCCTTAATGCTATCTGCAACAGAAACAAAAAGAGGCTTGGGGTCTCTTCCTGAATGGCCTAGTCCTGTCCAAGAAAAAGACTAACACTTGCTTAATATCTAGCAAACTGACGTGGTTTAGGAAAAAAATGGAAGGTGACTAGTTTGGTTGATATGAAATTGAGAGGAAACCTTAGGTAAGAACTTTGGATGAGGTCATAAAAATACCTTCTTCTTGGGGAACCAGGGAGAATCTGCCATTAGAGCCCGTATCTCCCTAACCCTTCAAGAAGAAATGATGGTCACCAAGAAGGCAGTCTTCATAGACAGATGTAGCAGCAAGCACATAGCTAATGGCTCAAGAGGTTGTTTCATGAGATGGTTAAGAAACGGGTTGAGATCCCAAAGCAGTGTAGGGGGTCTAATTTGCAGAAAAAGATAGATAAGTCCTTCTGGAATTTCATTGCAGTCAAATGAGCAAATACTAAGAAACCTACTGGCACATGGAAAGCTGTTATTGCCGCTTGGCGAACCTTGCTGGGAACTCACAGAAAGGCCTGGATATTTCAATTCCAATAAGAAATCCAAGACTGAGGAAAGAGATGACTGGAGAGGAGAAAGATGGTGCCAGTTACACCAAAGGTTATATCGTCTCCATTTCTGAAGGTAGGTCTAGTAAATTCCTTTAACGGTATCTTTTGTACTTCTGCTGAACATGTGGTCTATTGAGGAACAAAACTTGTAGTTGCAGGATGTTCAGATTGGGGTGAAGTATCTGATCCACATCGTGAGACAACAGTTGAGGTTTATTTGGGAGGGCAAAAGATGAGTTTGATGAAACAAGGAAACCAAACTTATCTTGGCCAAGTTGATGCAATCAAAATGACTTTGGCTCGGTCTTGTCTGATTTTTGATAAGGACCTTAAGAGCAATGGAGTTAGAGGACATGCATAGAAAAGACACTTTGCCCAGGTAATGAGGAAAACAACTCCTAGAGATTGGCAATTGAGGCCCCCCTCTGGAAAAGAATTTCCTGCATTGTTTGTTGGCTGCCATGGCAAAAAGGTCGACCTCTGGAAATACACAAACTAAGAATATTTTGTTAAGGACTCAAGAGTCCAACTCCTATTCGTAATTTAGGGAGAACTATTTCCTTGGGTCATCTGACATGGTGTTTTGTATACCCGCAAGGAAGCTGAGATGACTATCCAATTGGCTATGCACCAGTTCCACACGTTTATCACTTTAGTGCAGAATGAGGGGGAATGTGCTCTGCCCTGACGATTTATATGTTGTCTGTCATGATACTGATGGACTTGTTTTTGAGTAGAGGAAGAAAGTGAAGGAAAGCATTTCTGACCACTCTTAGTTCCAACAGATTGATGTGCAAGTGCTGTTCCTGTTGTGGCCATTTCCCTTGGACTGCGTGAGGACCCAAATGTGTTCCCCATCCCAAGAGGGAAGCATCCAATTTTAATATGACTGTAGGGGGATTCTGGTTGAACAGGATTACTGCACAAATTTTGGATGGATTCATCCACCAGTTGAGTGACTGTAGGACCTTAATGGGTACAGATACCTGCTTGTTTAGACTGTGTTTGTTGGGTACATGAACAGTCCTGAGCCACCCCTGGAGACATTGAAGATGCAACCTGGCATTTTGTGTCACAAAAACACAAGCTGTTATGTGTCCCAGGAGTTGCAGACATGACCTTGCTGGAACTTGAGGGATGAGCTACATTCTTGGTATAAGTGTCTTTAGAGCAGAGAACCCGTCACGAGGGAGATAAGCTCTGCCTATTATCGAATCTAGAAGCACTCCTATAAAGAGAATTTCTTGTGTAGAAGTCAAGATGGATTTCTCTAGTTTTATCGGCAGGCCTAGACTTCGGATTAGTGAAGTTGTTGTTCAAACTGCCAACTATATCTCCTGATATGACCAACCCTTGAGGAGCCAATTTTTGAGGTAGGGAAAGAAAGCCAATCCTAGACAACAGAGGTAGGCAGCTACGACCTCCATGATTCTAAAACACCCTTGGGGCGGATAATTGGCTGAAGAATAGGTCCCGGTACTGGTAATAATTATGATTGAGAGTGAAACGAAGAAATCTTTCGTTAGAAGGCTGAATTGCTATGCAGAAGTATGCATCTTTGAGGGAGGGAATTCCGGGAGGGAATTATAGCTGCTAGGGACACCATCTTGAATTTCAGATGTCCAACATGCTTGTTCAATTGCCTAAGACCTAGTCTCAGCCTCCAACCCTCATTTTTTCTTGGGTATCAGAAAATATCTTGAATAGAACCCTTTCCCCCTGTGCTGAAGTGGGATTGGCTATATGGCTCCCAGACTTAGGAGGAGTGATGAGATCTCGTGTGTCAGCAATTGCTCATGAGGGGTCCCTAAAGAGGAATGGAGAAGGAGGTTGGAAGGGCAGACTGGACGTAAATTGGATAGTATAACCCTAAGTAATGGCCTCCAATACACATCTGTCCGATGTTACAGCCTCCCATGCTTGATGAAATAGAGAGAGGTGGTGTCCAAATTGAGGAAGGGAGGTTGTGTTGTGCAGCTGATTAAACCTGGCCATTGGTCTGGACTTGACCAAACCATCAAAACTGATGACTGGACAATGTTGAAGACTGAGATGAAGCAACTGAGGTAGGTGAAAGGGATTTTTTGTGTTGTCTTTCCCATGGAAGTTCTTGAAGACTGTGATCTCGATGATGATGAGACAGGCATGGAGGGTCCCTGTACAGGGAAGTTCTCTGTACCTGGGTCCAAAGCCTGCTCCATCATTAATAATCTTTACTTAATTTCCCTGTTTTTACTGGATCTTACTTTAAAAGAAGAGAAGATTTTACACTTGCTGGGAATGGCAGAGTCTCCCAAGCAACAAATGCAGTGGGAGTGCCTGTCACTAGCAGGGATTACTTCTTGACAAGAGAGGCACTGTTTAAATCCCGGGTAGCCCAGCATCCCTGATGGAAGAAAAATTGTTCCAACCCCTCAACAGAGGAAAAACAAAAAAACCCCACAAAAATGTACTATTTATTTACTTTAAGAAAAGAAAAATGGAACCAACATTCCAATTATAAGGTACTAAGCTTATTACTACTAAGAGCTAATTACAAAGCTAAAACACTAATAAAAAGAGGGAAACAGGTACAAAGCAAACAGTCACATGCTAGACTACATCTCTGGCCAAAGACGGTTGAGAAGGAACTGAGCCAGCCCTATATAGCCTCTGTATGGGGTGGGAGGATGTGTAGGGTGCATGTGCCAGCAGAACAGACACTGCTACCAGAGCACACGCACACCTGAAGTAGAGCACTAACAGTGGCACTATTCAAACAACAACTCTGGTATCTTCCTGAATGTCAACCAAATGAATGTTTATAGGAAGACTAGCATGGCTAGGGCATAGGATGGAGAGAGATGTGTGTTTTATTCCCAGCTCTGCCACTGACCTGCTGGGCGCCCTTGTACAGGTCAGTTAACTTCTCTGTGCCAATTTCTCCATTTGAATAATAAGTATAATGATATTTACCCTCCTTGTACAATAGTTTGAGATTTGCAGATTTACAATCTAATTTATGGCATCAATAACAGCTGTCATGAACTCACGTTCCCAAGTGTGACACAGAGAGAGAGCTGTCACTCTAAACCCTCCTTCCTTCTCCTCTCACATGTAAACCCTCCCCCAAATCCTGCTTCTCCTGTTCCATTATCTCCAAAAATATCCTTTGTTTTATTCCAGCTGCCCCAACACCAGCATATTGCTTGGTAATCTCCACTTTTCTCCTGGCTAGTCCTATCCCAAATGCCGCTGACAGGTCTGACAATACTTTTTAGAGCAGTCTGTCAATAAAGAATTACAAACAACAACAAAAATTGTAGGTGTAACCAACATCTATCAATGGATTATGACTTGTGTTATGCAGGAGGTCAGACTAGATAATCATAATGGTCCCTTCTGGCCTTAAACTCTATCAATCAATGAATTATAGATGGTATATACCAACCATTGCTACTTCATAATATAGAAAGTATTCCAGAGTCAAGATTTTCAAGGTTATATACAAGGAACTAAATAAGTGGCTTGGTTTTCAACAGTGCTGAGGAATCAGTAGCCTGTGATGACCTGAATGGAAGCTGCTGGCTGTACAGTGCATATCTAGATGTGGATCAACCGGTTGACTTTGAATCTACTCATCTATTAGTTTTCTTTGATTTTACTACCTCGTCTCTATATCTTTCCTTCTTCTCTTCTATTTCTATTGGTCTTCTTTCATTTTCTCTCAAACATGCCCCATGTACTCTCCCCCAAAGGGGTATTTCTTGTTCAGTGAAATGTACATCTGCTCACTGACTCCCATCTTCAGCTGGATGTAAGCAATGCTTGCATTACATGTCTAACTACTTTCTACAGGGTTTAATATGTAAGCATGTACTTAACATGTAATTCATTAAAACCGCCCTCCAAAATTGCAGGTGGTGATCTTAAATAACAAAGATGGCAGGATGCTAACCACTGAGGTATTTGTGGTTCAGGAATGATATTCAAACAAACAGGATATAGCTCTCTTTTACAGATGGGACACACTTTAGAAAGAAAGAAAGAAGAAAACTAGGAACTGCCTCTGTTTTAGACAACTGCCAGTAAAAAAAAAAACAACCTGGGTTAAAAAGATAGCCCATTTTCATAAGCGATGAAACTTTAGTCCCTCCCCAAAGTGGGGCTTGAGTGAACATGTCCTGCATTTTTTGCTTGTGCATAAGGTTTTTTTTTTAAAAGGTGACTCCATCTGAGTCACCCGGCATTGCTGTATTTTCTTAGGAGAGAAGCAAGACTGTTTTAAAATCATGTCTCCATGTTTCTAGCATTTAAACAATAAAGCAAGAAAATAAAATGTACGTCCCTCTTGAAGCACATCTGAAGGTGCTGCTGAGATTCTTTATATCCCAGTGTTGTAAAAATCATTTATGAAAACAGTCAAAACTTTTCAGGAGAGTCAAAGAATATCTTTGAATGTTTCATCTAAATCATGTAATCGTTTTAATTCACAGTCTGACTCATTTTTTAGTGGAAGCAATTTCCGTTGTTCAGGAAACACACCCTGGCACTGGAATGCCTGTGATACACGCTGAGAACGCCAGTTTAGATGAAATGTCACCCGCATCACTCAGACTGCAGTGGATTTTACACAGCAACGCAGACATGGAAGAACTTTAGGCTTGCGGCTCATTGCTATAGTTCCTTTAACAAACAAAGTAGAAACTACCTAGTACAAGGGGTGCAGTTGGTTAATTTGTGGACTGAACGTCTACTTTCTGGCCAAGTTTCTTCCTCCTTTGTGTATTAAAGCCTGATTGAGCTACTTTGGCCACTTTTAATGGTCCCAAAGATCAGTCCAGCTACAAACGTGGAACATGGAAAATAAAGGCACAAATGCTTTAAGATAATATATGTGTCATACCATCATTCTCTGCTTATGCTGCTGTATGACAGCCCAATCCTGCGAAGGACTGAGCACCCTCATTTTCCATTGAAGTCCATAGAGGTTTGGGGAGCTCAGCATCCCATAAAAGGGTGTAATTCACCCAGTTCCAGAGAGGCAGTGCAAGGCCCTCTGCTCTCCGCCAGCCCAGTGCTGGGGCTGTGCCGAGGGGAGTGGTGCCTCTTCACACTCTCAGTGCTGAGGAGGGTGTCAGTGCAGAGCTGGTGTGGAGGACAGTAAATGGGAGTGAGCTGAGGAAGCTGATCAAGCTGGGTTAGCCTTACTTGGATTCTCCCCCTGCACTGTCACTCCTCTCCCCCTGAGGAGGCAGGATATTGAAGGCAGCAGCCTGTGAGAAGAGCATGGCAGCACCACTCTGAGGGAACTGTGCTGCCATGGGAGAAAGGGGTCTAGCTTGCACTGCGAAAGCATTGGGTCTGCGCGCACACACACACACTCTCTCTCTCTCTCTGCCCGTTGTGAGTCTCCCAAGATGGGTGCAGGCCCAAGACATGAATGTTTCTGGAACATTAAATTCCCTGCCTGACCAAGAAGGGAACCCTCCCTCCCAGGATAGAACAACTAGGAAAAACGTCTGGAGGTTGAAAGTCAGGGAGTTTTCTGACTATCATGTGGCAAAATCCTGCCAGACAGAGTATCCGTCCCTCAGTTTCATTGGTTTGTATGTGGATTACAAATTTGTAATGGTTGTCTGCTGTGGACATAGGATACACAGGCCCTCCTTCTACTGGGCCCTTATTATCCGCAATGGGTATGGTGGTTTCTGCTCCAACCTTTCTAACATGTGGGCCCTACAACACCTTTCTTACCCAGTGACTTCTGGAATCTTAGTGCCACTGGGCTCTCCAGACGGGGTCAGAAGAGTGGCATCCTGGAGAGAGAAACAACCGTAGCACTGGAGGGAACACAGATCGAGCTCTTCACAAATCTGTGATCCCAAACCTGACTAGCACTGGGGAATTAAACAATGATTCACAAGGAAAGCAACTTCTGTTTGCCAGTGCCACACAGGGCCTTGAGTGCTGCCCTTTCAGAAGCTAAGAGAACAGAGTAACAAATTTAAACATACAATACAGCCTCCCTATCATTCACAGGAATATAGGATTACTGCCCCTCTGACCAGAGAACAATGAAGTACAGATCACAGGAGCATATGACAGAGAGCACGCTCCATCTGTAGCAGAAAACAGCCTAATTCCCTCTTATTTCTGTTGCCGTGTGCCAAGGCTAATTGAAAGTGGAGAGCAAAGCAACAGAAATAGTGACTGATTTGTGTGTGCAGAAATAGATGGAAGGCTAGACTGGATGAAGCACTTAAAATATACTTAAGGGAACAATGCTACGCTGGTGCAGGGATGGACTAGATGACCTAATAGGGCTTTTCCATCTTGAATTTCTATGATTCTACTAAAAACCAGAGATGGTGAAGAATGTGTTCATCATTTTCTTCTTTTGAACTGTACTTTAGTTTCCGCAGGAGACAACATTGCAGCACATTGTTCCATAACAATAATCAGTAACCAAAACCCTTTTTTAAAAAGCCAGCACTTTAGAAGAGTTATTTTGCTTCCACAGTGTGTATTGATCTAGTGTAAGTACAGGTGAACTACTGTACACCTGTTTCCTTCTAAGGCTGCTCCTTGCAGCAAGGAAAAAGACAGGCTATGATGATGTGTGAGCTGTTAACAGAGTAACATTAAGAATTATAAATGATGTTCCAAATCTTTAGGTCTCTTTTCAGGCAAAACTCCCATTTGACTCCAGCATGACAAGGACTGCACAAAACAAAGTAAGGAAGGATCTCCAGGCTTGGTTCAATAAAAATAAATATAGGAAATGATGTAATCAGAATAGACTAGTGTAGTCAGGCAGATTGAGCATGATATTGGGAACCACAGATGCTGGATTTCTAAGGACAGCTCTTTCACTGCATTCCTGTGTGGCTCTAGGTAAGTTACTTAATCTTTTTTTCCAGGTTTCCAAATCTACGAAGTGAGGATAAAAATACTTTATTACCTACTCCACAGATAAGGTGCGAGGATTAGTTAATTTTTGTACAGACTCTGAAGATGTGAATTCACCATTACTCTAATTAGCTCCCAGAAGTCATCGGGAGGAGTATATTTAAATGGCAGCTGATTATAACAACATTATTTTTAGATTATATTAATACTCTATATTTTAAATTATATTAATATCATAATTAGGCCCCCAGAATACACTGGAGGGCATATACATATAAATGAGAGCTAATTGTAAAAAAAAAATACAATCATAATACTTTATTATAATTAGCTCCTATTTAAATATACTCCCCCAATGTATTCTGGGAGCTAATATATATTCTACATATAGGAATATCAGAATGTGAGGCTGTTACTATTCTATATATATGTAGCAAGAATAACTTCTGTCCTCTCAACACAAAACGAAATCCTCTTCATATTTTATATTTCCTAACAGTAATGGTTGTGTACCTACTAATGAGGTTAAAATGCTTTTAAATATCTAAGTTACACTGTGGATGAGGTCATCAGAGACTTCAGACACACTGAAATGAAACATCTCCCTTACCAGGCAAATTCAAATCAGAGAATTACTTGCTGCTATACTGGGACACGGCTGATCTGGGAAGAGACCCAAGTTCTGGAATCTACAGGAAATCTAAATTAAACCCACATTTTAATCCTATCTCTACGTGACTCTTTCTGAATTCTGGAAGCATCCCTTGTGGGAAACACAGCTGGTGGAGTATTTTATCTGGAATGTCGTCAGCCGGATTCTTATACGCTTCTTGAGAAGTTGACACTTCACTGGATGAGACTGTGCCTTGCAGTTTTGTTTTTATAGCCAGCGACTGAATATGGTTTCTACCAGATGATGGCACTCTATCCTTCTGCAAGGGAGCTCTTCCCAGTGTGCAGCATTACAACACATTGGCTACACTGACATATCTGTGAACAAGACATGACATAAATGCTACCTACTAATTTGTACCTCTTCTGCTGGTGCAGAGACCAGTGGTCTGGCTGGAGAGGGAGAGAAATGAGAGCAAGATGAAAATTGCAGATGGGAAATTACTATCTTTGAAATCTCATTATTCTAAGCAACTATATATAAACAAATTATAATAACCGGTTCTGATCCAGGGACTGTTTTTCTGATCATGAAGCCGAAGAAGAGATGTGAGGCTCTAAGCCTACACTGCAATGATATCACTGGGGATTTGAAGGCTGTAAACGAAAAGCAATTCTGTGGATCCTCCTTATGTCTCTTAAAGTGATACTGTTAATATAAAAACATATATAATAAAAAACCAATATACTCACCTCCTTATATGGATTACTGATAATACCAGAAGCCCCAATGCATAAATGGGAACACAACTGCACACCTAATTTGCATGCTCAGTTACCTGAGTGGCGGATCATATATAGGAACCCGCTTTTTACGCAGGCAGTTATGGAAGCATAGGCCTTGGATTGTTAAAACCAAAAGAATTTCAGAGCTCTAATCTACTCCTCAACAATGATGTTGTTTGTTTCCCTTCTACAACTCACTCATTTTGGAAAGCAATACTGTACTAAACTAAAACAACAAGGAGTCTGGTGGCACCTTAAAGACTAACAGATTTATTTGGGCATAAGCTTTCGTGAGTAAAAACCTCACTTCTTTGGATGCATCCGAAGAAGTGAGGTTTTTACCCACGAAAGCTTATGCCCAAATAAAT